GATCTGTGTGGCTTGCTGGTGTTCAGCTGTTCATTACGTTCCCGTAGCCTCCTCTGTCTCTGCAAAGTTGCCGGTGATGTCTCCTCCTCCCTAACTGATTTCAGTAAGTTCCTGGCAGTGAGGATTGAGGCTAGAGGGGGAGCACAGGAGGCAGAGATGGCTGCTTTGCATGCAGGTGACCTTCCTCCCTGGGGACAGGAAGTGGACCTAAGTGGTTGACGCTGTGATGCTGGTCCACCAGGTCAGTACTCTGTCTGTCTCTGTCTGTCTCTGTTTCTCTCACTCTCTTTCTCTCTCTCTCTCTCTCACTGTCTCTCTTATTTATCCCCCACTTTCTTAGCAGAGGTGTACTCAGTTCTGTGCTCAGATATTAATGTCCTGAACAACATGCATTTCATTTCACTTCACCCTTCGCTTTTTAGAGTAGACGTTTCTTGAGGCCAGGGAGCACTCTTTATTCACTGGGAACCCTGGAATCTGAATAATGTCTAGTACAGAAAATATTGTGACAAACACTGAGTGTATGCTTCAGTTCAACTTAATGTGCACATGTCTTTATCTTGGTGTCATGTCCTCCCAACCTATAGGTGAATCACACCCTGGGCAAAGCAGCAGGGGAACTGGTGTGGTAAGTGTGTTTCTGCTTGTCTGTGAGTGTTGAGCAGTAACACAATTTACGACTGTTCTGTTTCTTCTGGAAATCCGAAAGCTTCTGCACTCACTGGATGTGAATGACAGATAAATATCCCTGATCAGCTTTTGTTTATTGGTTGAGCTGTCAGTGGAAAGTAAATTACTTGACATTTCCCTTCATATTTATCATTATTGACTTACTCTGTGCCTCAAAGAAAACCAAGAAAATAAAATGTGCAATCACATGGAAGCTGCATTTTGAAGTTAATCTCTTTTGTAAAAGATCCTGTGACTGCGGGGGAGGAGACTGTGTCTCCCAATGCATGTGGAGGGTGCAGGTGATGAGAGCCAGAGCCCCAACACAGGCACAGCACCATAGCAGGAGGGGCCACGCCTACCGGGCTAAGGGGACCAGGACAACGCTGTGCCCTGTGTGTCAGCCAGGTCCACTGCAATGCCCCCTGTTGCTCCCCGGGCCGGTCTCGCTCCTGCCCCAGCTCAGTGAGAAGTGCTTCCGCAGCTCTACCCAGCGCGGTGAGGCGCAGTGAGCAGCGCTTCCGCAGCTCTACCCAGCGCGGTGAGGCGCAGTGAGCAGCGCTTCCGCAGCTCTCCCCAGCGCAGTGAGGCGCAGTGAGCAGCGCTTCCGCAGCTCTCCCCAGCGCAGTGAGGCGCAGTGAGCAGCGCTTCTGCAGCTCTCCCCAGCGCGGTGAGGCGCAGTGAGCAGCGCTTCCGCAGCTCTGCTTCTCCTAGGCGCAAAGCCAGGCAAAGGAAGCCAGCGCCCCTGACCGCACACGTCCACCAGGAGCTCTGTCGCTCACTGGGAGGGTGCTCACACTTAGACACCTCGAGCTTTGCTCTCTTCAAGGACTATCTTCTCTGCTACCATAGAGACCAGACTACTGCTTCTGAGTAGTTTATATTCCTTTTATTAAGAACTGATCAGCTCTTCATACCCAGGCTCTTCTTGGGCCTTTGAGAATATGGCGGGATTGTTCTTGTGACTCTGGGGCTGGAACAGCACACTCTGGAAGGAGGGAAACACCTCAGATTACTGACCTCACGCAGGTGAGCTGGTGCCGCCTCCCCAGCTGCACACGCAGAACTGCAGCTGCTCACGGCAAGGGCAGCACTCTGTGAAGTTCTCTGCATGCCTGTGACCATCAGCCTGGTACTCTGCTCTTGTGAGTAACAACTTGAATGAACGAAAGCGTTTTAGTTCTGTTCAGTGCAGCCCTGCATTCATTGTAATGGTAAGATAATATCCCAGGCATTTGGTTCAGAAGTACTTTAGTTACTTTGTAAGGAAAAAGAAAGAAAGAAAAAATACCCGGGTCACAGGAGAGACAAGTAGGGTATAAGAAAGAGCTTGGTGCCACTCATTGGGCAGGTCCTCCTCAGCAAATCACTGTACACAGAGGGCCGCCGCTATGGAAGAACCTGCTCCCGCTCAGGAGGGTGGAAGCCAGGCTCGGGGGTCCTGCGTGCCAGTGCACACTCACAGCAATGCCAGGAAGGAAAGGAGCTTCCCAGAGCCGCTGCTCCTGTTTGCACCGCACAAGGGCTGAAGCCGCTGACCTGTCAGGTGAGCTCTCTCCACCTGCAGCGAGGCCCAGGCGCTGGACCCTCCAGGGTCATCTGCTTCCTTCCTGCATATCTTCATCTCGTGCAAACCACGAACCACTGCCCCTAGAGACCCGCGGCGAGGGCCGCACTTGCCCCACTTGGGGAGCAGGAGAAACTCGGGGCGCCTCGCTCACTCACCCCAGGGAAGTCCGCCTGAGCTTGTTTGCACCACAGCACGGTGGTGAGCACAGCCAGGCAGAGCTCCAGCGCCGTGCACATCAGCATCACAGTCACGGTGCCCTGAAAGGCAGGAGGCAGAGGTCGGGGCACTGGAGCCCCCAGGCTTCTTCCTGCATGGAGGTGACTCCTCCCTGAGAGACCGTGGAAGGATCCACAGGAGGAAGAGTGTTCTGCTTGGCCCAGTAGTCAGCTCAGGGCTACCCCGTCTTAAGAGAGTGTCTCTGGGATCAATACTTTTTTTTCTTTGTACCAGGGATCTACTCGGGATTGCACAGCTGAACTATCTCCCCTGTTCTTTGAGATCAATTCTCATATTTCCTGTTCTCTGGTCCTCCTTTCTGGGTCTGATATCTGCCCTGACCAAGTTCACCCTTATCACACGCATGCGCGCGCACACGCACACACACACACACACACACACACACACACACACACACACAGAGTAGGCTTCTTGCAGAACCACCTGACCAACTGAGTCTTTCTGCTATGCTTTCTTTTCTTTCTTGCTCATTCCACATACAAAGCCCCTGGCTTAAACATTCATATTTTTTGTCTCAAATCAATGTCGATGACTGTTAAGACATTCTCATCAACCTTATTTTCCATTTAAAACCTATACTCCGTACCCCTCAGCCTGACCCGTTACTGTCCTGCGGTCTGTGCCCTTCTGTTCCCTGGCCCTGGGCTTCCCCCAGATCATGGAGATCACAGAGAGGCTGAAGTAAGGACGGCGACACATCAGGGCATCCCAGCGCTCCTCACAGTGCAGCCGCACGCACCATCAGGCTGGCTTTGGCGGTGAAGCAGTGAATGTCGCGGTCCTCTGGATGGTAGTAAAAGTAGGACTGCGTGGTTGGGCTCAGCTTCCTGCTCAGCTCACACTGCCGGAAGGCAGACTCCAGAGCAGCCAGTGTGTAGGACAGCAGCGCGATGCCCAGCAGAGCCAGGGCTGTGCTCAGGACGCCGCAGGCCAGGCTGCCCTGGACCTGGAAGAGACAGGAGCGAGACCACGCCATCAGGGGCCATGGCCATTTGGACCTCTTCCTCAGGCCCTGCAAAGGTTCACTCTCTCCGCCTACTCTAGGAGGTCCTTTCTGCACGTGGCCTTGGTGCCTACATAATCTCTGATTCTAGAGGGAGGCCGGGTGCTGAGCGACAGAATCCATGATTCTGTCCCTGTCCTTCTCCTAACAGTTCCTGTTGTGCACAGAACATCCACCCCTCACCATGCACTCTTAACCTGGGTGTGCAGCCAAGCTGCCTCAGCTGGGCCTATGGAGTCCTGGCAGTGTGGGGAAGGCAGAGGTCAGCCTCAGGCTGGGCACTGCACGTTCCCTGATGGCCCATGTGTTACAGGCTGAGTCATCTCTGGTTAACGGGGGTCACTCTACGTGTTGGGGGTGAGCGTGATGTCCATAGTGTATAGACTTAAGAATACTCCAGGCTTTTTAAAAATTAGATCACTCCTTCACCCTGAAAAGGGTTCCAGGATGAGTGACAAGAATCAAAGTTGCTATGTGGGTACCTCCAGGAGCTTCAGCTCACCTGAGGCTGCAGCCTGTATCCCTGAGATCCCTCATGCTTCCAGTGGGGCTAGGAGTCCTGTATGCTCACAGAGACTCCAGAAGTACACAGACCTTATATGAGTAACATGCTAGTCAGTAGGGCTGTTTCCAGCCACACGGATCTCTTATATTTCAGAACAATTACATTAGTATTAAAGTTTAGTGTGTCAGCTGCACCAGCCACTGCAATAGACACCATAGAGGTACCACGCTGAGGTGACCAGGGAGAGATCTGACGATGCCACGTCTAGTAGCTCAGGGTCTGGGGCGAGGTCTTGAACATGGCTGTAATTTCAGGAGAGAGAGAGAGAGAAAGAGAGAGAGAGAGACAGAGAGACAGAGACAGAGACAGACAGACAGACAGACAGACAGACAGACACTGCTCTGAACACTTTCTCGTGCATCTCTTGGCTTGCTGGCAGAGTCCTGCATAAGCAAGACTCTGTCCTACTGCACATGTTTGATGTTCTCTTGGGGGAGTCTCAGGAAACCCCTGGGGGACACAGATTGGGTAGGGATGAGGCAAACCTTTGTAGATGATAATGTTTTGAGCTCTTACTCCAGTTTTCCTCTCCCTGCCACTTCTAACTTGGGTTTTTCCAAGAAAGTCTTAAAAGCTGATTCTTTAGTCAACAGTAATGACCAAAAATAACTTTGTGCCTGGAGTTTACATTCAAACCAACACTGTTAGAATTCTGGTGAAACAGATGAATAAATGAAAACCAATCCCTTATGCAAGTAGCATTTTAACAGGGGTTTCCTATGGATTTGATACATGGGATTGTACCAGGAATCCACAACGAATACACGCACTTTTTACTAACACTGTTTAGTTTCTTCACTATTAAGAAGACAAAGTTGACAAATATTATCAGTATAATCAACCCATCAGTGGCAGAAATTTTCATGTGAGATTTGTGGACACCTGCTCAGACCACACCCTTTAATATAGAGCACCGTGGTGGAGGAGGGGTGTCTCAAGAGCTAGCAAGTGGAGGATCCAGAGCTAAATGCTAAATCTCATTAGGGGACCTTGGGATCCAGTGTCCTACAATGAGCCAATGACCTGCAGATTCCCGTTTTTAATCCATCAGACTGGGTTGTGGTTCCCAAACTCACCAAAGGCTTAACTGATTTCTTTTCTGTGATGATGGAGAGGCATCCAGTGATGATAAACTATTAGGGAAAGAGGAGAAAGTTGTCGGGTCAATGCCCATTTATGGTGAAGCTACGCAGGTACAGCATGGTCTTCATGAAAAACTGTCATGGGAAAGTGCTGGAGAAAATATTGTCAGTGCTAAAAGATACATCTGAAGACACAAATTTGTCCCTTTGCATACACTACTGTTACGGCTGTCTGTTATGGTTTGGGTCTAGTTGTCTGTCAAAGCCTCATGCAGTCATGGGGTGGACTTCTAGAGTTTATGATAAACTCATGATCCACTAGGATTATGGGTGTGAGTGCTGCTGGGATTATGGGTGTGAGTGCTGCTGGGATTAGGAGTATGGGTGCTACATCCAGCCTGGGGTGGATAGCCTGAATGTAACTTAAGGGAGACACACTTGCCCTCTGCTGCCCTTGCTATTCCTCCTCCCTTTTGCTTTTGCAGTTTTGCTGCCTTCCACCACCACGAACTGCTGCCCTCTGCCATGTGCCACTTTGCCATGGAGCCAGCCGAGTATGAACCGAAACCTTTATAAACTGTAAGCTAAATAAGCCTTTTCTTCCTTAATTTTGGGTGTTGGGCATTTTGTCCCAGCAAAGAGTAAATAGTAACTGAGACACTATGACTAGATGTCCACTGAAAGCCACATGTGGTCATAGGTGGGACTGTCAGGGTGGCTCCTTCTAGAGTGTGTGATGCTAGTATTAATGGTGTGAGACTGAGAAATCAGTCCACGGGTTGATCTGGCACTGCCCTAACCCCAGCAGCCTAGATGTAATACAAAGGGGGCCGAGAGATGCTGGTGAGGCCCCCCTTCATTGCTTTGCTCCTGTCTGCCTGGTTTTCCTCTGCAGTTCTTATCTGCCATGACACCCTGCCTTGGAACCAGCTGCCTACAGACTGAAACCTCTACAGTTAGCTAGCCAATTTTTTCTTCTCTTAACTTTGGACATTAGGCATTTTGTCTTAACAATGAGAAAAGTAACTGCAAGAGGCGTTCAGTAATGGCCAAAAGGCAGATGGGCACAGAACCCTGTCGCTGGAGCAAAATGAGGAACTTAGCAGTCAGGAAATAAGGATCTGTTGCTAAGAGAAAGAAATAATTTAGAGCTCAGTGTTCTTTGTAGAAGTACAGGAGCAAATGATCTGAACAAAGAAGTGGAGCTTGTCCTGTGGCCTCTGTGCTTCCTGTCACAAGCACAGTGTCATGTTCAGTGGTTTAAACATGTAATCATATGGACACCCTTGAGCTAAATCCCCCTAAAAACAAAAAGCGAGAAAATGAACTGAATATATTATTTTGAAAAGAAGAGTTTCAAATGGCCATAAACTATATGAAAATAGGTTCACCATCTCTAGCCATCTAAGAAATGCAAATTAAAACTACATTGGTATGGCCAGGGATACAGCTCAGCACCATAGTGCCTGCCTGGCAAGGGCGAGGCTGTGAGTTCAATTTCTGGTACAAAAAAGATTCCATCTCGCCCCATCAGAATGACCGTCGTCAACAGTGTAAGCTAATGAACACTGGGGAAGATGTGAAAGAAAGGGGCCTTCCTACACTGGAGGCAAGAAGAAGAGCGCTGTGGGACAGAAAAGCTGCTGTGTGAGAAGGACTGACCAGCTCAGGAGAGGTGTCCTCAGAGAAAAGGGACGCCACGCCCACGGCAAGCCACGGCTAAGTACCAAGCCTCTCCTGAGGATTTCCAGGCCATCAGCGCAGAGCACAGAGTTGCTCCTTTGACCTTGGTTGTCGCTAACTGCTTAGACACCAAGTCTTCCGCCCCCCCCCCCACCTTTCTCACAGCGTCTGTGCAGCCTCTGCACATGGGTGACGACTCGCCCTGATGCTTGTGGCACTAGATGGAAGGGTACTTTTCCAAACCTCGTCCTGCTTTGCAACGTTTGGAAAAACTTGGAATGATACCACTGATCTGATAGAACTCAAAATGATAAGGTAAAAAAAAATCTAAAAAATAATGCTTATAAATGAAATAGATTCGAAATAAAATAACGCCTGTCCTTCTGCACACCCAAGCCCTCCCTCCCTGCACCCGCAGTGTTACTGAATCTTTGCTCCCCGCAAGCAGAAAGGCAGCAGGCCACACGAGAAGAGTCTGAGCTGTGGCCTCCTGCGCCCCTCCTGTCCCTGCCTGCCATACTGTACTTACACACAGGGCTCCTACAAATGGGTAAGCAGATTTTATCAGTATTGAAAACTCAGTGGTAAAACGCGGGGAAGCCGGAGCCACCGCCAAAATGATCCCCAGGCTCAGCACCATCACGCCGCACAGGATCTGGATAGCCTGTTGGAAAAGGAAGAGCGTCGGAGATTCGCAGGAACACAGGGGTGGCGGCGCCTGCTTGGCCCTCCGTGCTGCTCAGGCGCGCTTTCTGGCGGCGAAGATGCAGAACTGAAAAGCTGTGCACAGGAAACCAGGCCTCGGCTACCTGCGCAGTGCCCTGAAGCCTTGGGCCCCTTGTGGCCCTCAGGTCCTGGTCTCTCCGTGACCCTTGTCCCGAGGCTATGGCCAGTATGGGACAATCTGCATCCAAAGTCATTCTCCTCTCTCTTGTGGGAAGGGGGCCATCTGCATGCCCTCCAACTGCCTGCAGCACCGTCCGGATGCTGTCCTCGAAGTCTCCCCAGCCCCCGCGAACGCACAACTCGGGGCCAGCTCTCTGGAGCTCACAGCCTCTCCATCCCTGCAGCTGCTCTGAGCACCCCAAAGCTCCGACTGGAGAGGCAAAGCCGGACTCTGCACCCTGAGAGGCTCACAGCGCAATAGCAAGCGACATATAAAACATGTATTTCCTCACCGTTCGTTTCATAGAGGGAATATAAAGAACAGCAACATAAAATACGAAAGCACTTACTAACACCACAAGCCCTCACATACTCGCGCTCACTGTGAGGGGACCCTGCTCCGCGTCGTGGCACCACCTGGAAGGACTGAGCAGTCCGCGCTCGCTCGGCCTGGCAGGCGTCCCCGCGGGGACGCTGGCTCTCCAGCCCCGGACCGCGCAGTCCGCCCTGCCCTCCGCCCCACCCCCGCGTGGCCGCAGCTGGCTTTACCCCGAACACGTTGACCTCCGCCCGCAGCCGCTTCTTCAGGCTCTCCTGCCTCGGGGTGCCGGGCTGAGGCTGCCCGGTGCGGGGCAGGTAGAAGCCCTGGTCGGTGAGCACCGCGGTCGGCTCCTCGGCGATGCGCTGCGACATCCTGCTGGCGCTGCCCGCGCTGCAAAAGTCAGCTGCGCGCTCTGCTCCACGCGCAGACTTGACCTGCAGTTTAGGGAAGCAGCCTTGGCGTGTGGGTCAGAGGAAACCAGAGTCTCGGGTTCTTGAGATTTTTCCTGTAAAGAGGCCCAGGATTTCAGAAGCAAACGCTCACGTGGCACCCGCGGTGCAGCCGGCGCCCTTCCTACCCGCGCCGCAGCCTGCCTGGGTCGGGTGCACGTCACCTCCCGCCCCCCCCGCCCCCCCTGAGCTCCGACGAGGCCTCAGCCGTCCTCCTCCTTCCAGCGTTGCTAGCCGGGGGCTGCCCGTGTGTGAGCGGCCGGCGGCAGCGTTTAGAGCCAAGAGTTCTCCTGGCGGCCACCTCGCGGCCCCAGGTGGTGGTGACCAGGACCACGCAGGCAGCGAGAAAACCGGGAAGGAGAGGTGGGAGCAGCCGCTGCGGACGGCCTGTGTGCCAGGTCCCTGGGGCCAAGAGCGCTCAAGGAGCCTCAGGCAGAATTGTCCCTCGGGTGCGTCTCCCAGCGTCACCCACCTGTGCCTGTGGTTCGGGCTGATGGTCGGCCGAGCTCTGAGTCCCCAGGAGGCTGCAGTTCGGGTTCCGTGGTCCTGATCCACAGGGGCCACTTCTTGTCTCCTGCAAGCCACCAGCCCCATAGTCTGCCGCTTACAGCTCCACCGCATGCGAAAAGCGCGGCTTGTAGGTTTGTGAAATGCCCGGACTTCCCTTCTGGCAGTTACTTAGTACTCTGAAAAAGTGCTTGTGGAAACAGCTCCTGTTGGGAGAGTGGAAGTTACTTCGCCTGGCGCGCACGTGGACACCCGTCCGCAGGAGACTGAAGGGCACGTAGGTCTGTGTTCTCGAGGCTTCAGGTTCTAAGCTGATAAATAGGAGTAATGCCCACAGAGAAAACTGCCTCAGTGGTAGGAGGACGTGTTGATGAAAAGCTCTTCTTCCTTGTCACAGCGCTTGCTAATAGGTAACTAATAATAGCATTGCTAGGAACAGAAAAATGAAGGCTAGCACTCCATAATATAGATTTCACCACATTCATAACAGTAGCGATGGCAAAGATTTCAATAAACGGTCTCTCTTCTGTGGCCAAGAGCAGTAATGATGAACATTAACAATATTTTGCACTTTTGTGGGTCAAGGCAGGAGGATCCCAAATTCAATCCTAGGCTGGGTAACTGCAGTTTAATTAGACTTTGTCTCAAAATAAGTAATAATAATAATAATAATAATAATAATAATAATGATAGCAGCTAGACATGTAGCTCAGTGCACAGGCCTTTGGCTCAGAGCCCAGAATCCCACAGAGACTGCCGAATAGACTCTTGCCATGCTGAGTCCTAGAGATCAGCCTCAGGGAGAGTCTAGATTTGCTCAGACATTTGTGGCAAGTGGCAAATGACCCTCCACGGCTCTCTTCCCTGATTTCCTGCTGCCATTTCCCATCATGCCCCAGGCCCTAGCCCCAGCACAGAACCCAGCTAGGTGGGCAGCAGCTCTGCCTGAGCCCCCCAGAGGGGGAGCTTTGTTCCTGAAGGGACAGAACAGATGCCTTCCCTCCGAGTGTTTCCTGCTAAACCAGTTACATCTGCACAGCTGAGCAATGATTGGCTTTGCGGTTTTCCTTTTATTATCAGCAGTTTAGTGATCTTAGAGGAGTTTAAGGGTCACATGCAGTAACACATCCACACAGTGGGCCCAAAGGGTTTGCTCAGGGTCTTCCCTTCCCTACATGTCTGAGCCGTATATTCTGTGTCAATGTCAGTCTCAGTCTCTCTGAGTCTCTGTGTCTCTGTCTCTGCCTCTCTCTGTCTCTCTGCCTCTGCCTCTGCCTCTCTGTCTTTGTCACTGTCTCTGTCTCTCTCTGTCTCTGTCTGTTTCTGTCTCTGTCTGTCTCTGTCTCTGTCTTTCTCTGTCTCTCTCTGTCTGTCTCTCTGTCTGTCTCTCTGTCTCTGTCTCTGTCTCTCTCTGTCTCTTTGTTTCTGTCTCTCTCTGTCTCTGTCTCTATCTCTCTCTATCTCTTTCTCTATCTCTCTCTGTCTCTCTCTGTATCTCTCTGTCTCTCTGTCTCTGTCTCTCTCTCTGTCTCTCTGCCTCTCTCTGTCTCTCTTTCTGTCTCTCTCTGTGTCTCTCTGTCTCTCTGTCTCTTTCTCCTTGTCTCTCTGTCTCTGTGTGTCTCTCTGTCTCTCTGTGTCTCTGTCTCTCTTTCTGTCTCTCTCTGTGTCTCTCTGTCTCTCTGTCTCTTTCTCCTTGTCTCTCTGCCTCTGTGTGTCTCTCTGTCTCTCTCTCTGTGTCTCTGTCTCTCTCTCTGTCTCTGTGTGTGTGTCTCTCTCTGTCTCTCTCTGTCTCTCTCTGTCTCTCTCTATGTGTCTCTCTCTCTGTGTCTCTCTCTGTCTCTCTCTGTGTCTCTCTCTGTGTCTCTGTGTCTCTGTCTCTGTCTCTCTCTCTGTCTCTCTCTGTCTCTCTCTCTGTCTCTCTCCCCCCCTCACCTGCTCTTGTTTTCCTTCCTGGCTTCATAATCTTTGCACAGAGGACTCCTCCCTCTCTGCTTCCTCAGCTCTATCCACACCCTCGGCTATCTCCAGAGTGTGAGCTCCATTGCCTGGACCAGGAGTGAAGGGCAAGTGTGACAAAAGCACTCGCCCACTCATAACCCAGGACGTCTCCTGGCTCTGCTGACGGCCTTGCAGGTGGAGGACACGTGCTGGTGTGGGGCTCTGTTCTGTGCTCTGCGGGGTGCCTAGTGGACTCCCAGCCTCTGCTCACAGAGCTGCGACAGCTGGCACTGCCACCAGCTATCACCAACACCCACTAAGGGGAAGGAACGAAGCCACTGATCTAGAAGCAACAGTGATTTCTGGGACTCCTATGAAAAGGTAGATGGCAAAAACCTGCAGTGTTTTTTAAAACCAAATCATTTTTAGATTTTAATTTTTAAAATTTCTACTATCTTAAAATGCATAGAATCCAGAAGGTTAACCACTTTGTGTGGACAGTTCAGTGCTATTGTCATCCTATTTCCTGTGTAACAGATCTCTAGAAGTTTTCCATCTTGGAAAACCACTAATATTTCACCCGCCCCTGCCTGGCCCAGGCGGCTCTCTGTCCCCTGGAACTCCCCTTCTTCTTTCTGTTCCTCAGAGCTCTGTGACCACCCAGTGCCCCACAGGATTGTGGTCACCCATATTTACTGGGCGTCTCTGTGGAGCTGAGGCCTCCTTTTGCAACACCTTCCTGATTGGATTCAGATTAATTTGCTTTTTGTTATGAAATGTGATCCTGCCTGGAGCTGGAAAGCCTTCCTGGCTTTCTCTGTGGGTATCTTGGTGATTTCAACCCGGCTGTTATAGCTTGTGTCCGGGTGTCCTCCCAAAACCTCATGCAGTCACAGGAGGTGGGCTTCATGGAGGTTTCTGAATCTAGTTTCTGATTGATTTTAGTGCAAGGTTGGGATTAAGGGCATGAGTGCTGCATCCGCTGGAGAACAGGAAGCCTGCATACCATAGAGGGGAAGGAAAAGGATTTGCCCTCTTCCTCCTTGTGTTGCTTCTTCCACAGCTGCAAACTGTTGCTCCTGTGTCTCCTGTTTTATTTAAGAGTACTTGGTGCTTAATGATCGTGATTCACCTCTGTACTTCAGGGTCCTCGCCTATCTCACACACTAGGGACCCCTTTCCATTGATGCATTTCTGAAGCATCTAATGTCATCTCCCCAGTGGAATATTGCTCTTTAGAGTTTGGGGAACAAAGGCTGGAAGCTGGGGTGCCACGCCTGCCTCTTTTCCCTGCCTGCACATCCCACCCTCCCTAGGCCCAGTGTGCAGATGCTCTATCAAGGGAAGAACTCAGAGGTCCTAAGGGTTTGGGATGCAGAACACTATTTTGCAAGAATCTTTCTCCTGCTCATGACATCTTGTGGATAGTAATGACAGGAAGCCGTTGGGTCACACAGCCCCACCGTCCACTCCAGCATTCAGCAGATTCCAAGCAGGAAGCACCCAGCTCACCATAAGCAGTTTCACAAATCTACCAGCCCTCCTCATTGTGTCAGTGAGAAGCTTCTTTCTGCAACAGGGTAAAAGAAGGAAGCGTAGTACAAATAAAATAAGAATCATTTTCCAAAAATGCGTATTTAATCAAAGTGTGCAGGCACTCTCTGAGTGGGAAAATTTAATAGCTACAAAGGAATCTCTAGTGCTTTCTGAACTCTGTGCATATCTAAGTGATTTCAGTAATAAAAAATTTCATATGGAAAAGTATTAGCTTCAGACCAATCTGAAGCTAAATTGGTATTTTTCTTTAATAGCTTCTATCTGCAAACTGTCTTGAAATATCTCTGCTCCAGTAATTAACTTGGCCCCACCATTAGAAAGATAGCAGTTTTCTGGTTTTGACAATAATCATGGCTGTCTTCACAAACCAGTCCCTAAGGTACTACCTCAGGTACCATGTGTTTGGTTTTTTGGAGGTGCAGTAAAGAGATAGGAAAGATAAAAGAAGGCTTTGGAGGGGCAGGTTTGGTGACACCTGAGGAGCTGATTGGAGTTTCCCATGAATGCACAGGAAAGGTGAGAGGAAATTGTATCCAGAGCTGGGGGGGGAGGAGGAGGAAGTGGTCACTGGGCAGATAACAGTGTCTGATAATTTAGCCACTTCTCCTAAGGCCAGAGCCTGCCACTGTGCTTTGTGTCCCCATTTTGGGAACCATGCATCTCATGCTGACATAGGATCTGGGACAGCTTTCTCACAAGAAGTACACTTCTACACATAAATAATTTATCTAAGAATGTACTGCAGTTACATCTTATTTTTTTATTCCTTTTATTTTTAAAAATAAAGAATAAAAAATGGTGAGACTGGAGATTACAGTTCAGTGGCACAAGTGCCGGCCTGGCAATACAGGGTCCTGAGTTCAATTCCTGATACCAAAAATCAAAAGAAAGATTTAAAAAACAAAAAATAGTAAAACAATTAGAGACAATACAGAATTTCACTAAATAAAATGAAATTCAATAGTGGTTCATATACTGCCTATCGTTGTCTCTACACTAGTTCAGATGACAAGATAGAAGCATGCAAAACTGATCAAAAATTATAAATTAAAAAGAAGAGAGAAAAATGTAAGCATTAACTGCTCCTTTCAATAGATCAACAATACAACTATACAAGATACATATATATATATGTATATATATATAGTTTTCCTTTCCCGTCTTTCTTTTGTCCTTTCCCTCATCCCAGTTTTTCCTTCCAATTGAGCAGCTCTTTCCCTGTCATATTATCCATTGCACCTCTCAGATTTTATTTGCTCCTTCAGGCTCTTACACTAGGGAGACAATACGATGTTTACACATGTGAGTCTGATTTACCTCACTTATGAGTGTGGTCTCTCATTGCACCCATTTACCTAGAATAGCTTCGAGCTTATCTCTTTTATATCTGAGTAACATTCCATTGCATAAAAAGACCACAGCTTTCCATCCATTCCTCAGGTGATGGGCACTTGGTTGTTTCCAGCAGTTAGCTATGACCAATTGAGCTGCTGTAGCGTGGGCGCACGTATATTGCTGTGTTCTGATGGTGCTGTTACATCTTCTAAGAAATGGCTATTTGTAGCCTCATAGCAGAGTTTCTGTTACTCATTACCTAGGTGAAAAAGTTGAGTGATAAATGTAGGCTGAGACAGGACGTACAAAGGCAAACTGAGTAGATGCCAAAGCTATTTAGCGAGTGCTCATTTGGGGATGGTCTTAAAGAATCAGCCTGCCGATTAATTTTAGGGTATTACTGCAAATACTTCACGCTGAGGGCAGCCAGTGGATACCTGCTTAGTCTGTGTGGGTGGCTGTGGAAAAAGCAACAGAGCCCAGGTGATCACTCAGCGCTCACACATTTTTCAGTTTGGGCAGCTGGGAGTTAAAGCCCAAGGCCCTGCGCCCCCATGTCCGGTGAGAGCACATGCTTGGCTCACACTTTGCCATCTTTTTGCTGTGTGTTCACATGGTAGGAGGGAGTGAAGGAGCCCTTGGCAACCTCTTTTTGAGGGTTCTGATTCCTTCACAAAAGCACCACTGTCCCGGATGCATTGTATCCCAGACACGCTCCCTCCTAACACCGGTGCGCCCAGGGTTGAGGTTTCGACGACTGAATCTTGGAGGACCCTAAGACTCAGGGCGCAGCAGCACAATGCTCAAGTGGTCAAAGAAAGCTCACCAAATATGGAGTGTGCTGACATTATTTGCTTCCTCATCTGATATAATGGATAATTAGGAAGTTTACAACATTGCTGATGCCGTGTTCTGGCTAAGTAGCCCGGATCTATGAAGAAAGAAGAAATTTCTAGTACACAGGGCAATCTTCAAAACAACAGGTCCATACAGCAGACCTCCCAGTGGCTCCTCACACAGTCACAATGCTGTTTTTGGGCCTATGTGTCCCCATTCCCTCTGCTGTCCTTGCCTCCTCCACTAGCAGTCACTGCTTTATTCTCTGTCTTCAACTTCCTTTTCCTTGTAGATTCCGCCTATATATGAGGTCAAGGGGTGCTCTCCTGCCTCCACTTGACTGATTTCACCATGATGAAGGCTTTCTCCCTCATTCACATCGTAGGAAATGACAGGGGCTCTTCCCTCAGGCTGAACTTCATAGGCACGTGCGGCCTGCATCACTCAGCCATCAGTGGGCACCTTTGGGTCATTTCCACCTGTTGGCTGTTGTTCATGATGCTCCAATGAATGCAGGAGCCCAGAGTTTTCTGATGGCTGTGAATTTAATTTCCTTTGGGCATGTGTCAACAAGAGGGACCCCTGAGTCCTATGCTAGTCACATTTAATCTTTTGAGGAGCCTGCATATCAGATGTTCTCAAAAAATATCAGCTGCATCAGTGCATGCATCAAGAATGTGCACGTCTTCTTCCCCTTTTGTCCACAGCCTGGCCAGCACTCCCCTTGTGTTTTGACAGCTGCCATTCCTTCTACAGTGTGGGGATGGCTGTGGCTTTGGTTTGAATTTCTTAGGTGATCATGGTCTCCACATGATCTCTGGCTGTTTATTTTTTAATCAATTTCTCCGCCACTTAGTTGTGTAGGTCCTTTTCCTGTTTTTCAATTGGCTCATTGTTTTCCAAAATTAAATTATATGTGAATAAGCACATATGTTGCCTTTTTACATGGTTTGCTTTTATGTACAGAAGCTTTAGTTTGACGTAGTTGCATTTACTTATTTTTACTCTTATAGACTGGAGTTTGGTATGATTTCCAGAAACATCATTGCCAATTCCAAGGTCAAGAAATTTTCTCTCTTGTATCCTGTGATTTTAGAACTTATATTTAGGTCATTTATGCATTTTGAGTTGCTTCTGCATATGGCATAAAATAAGCATCCAATTTTGCATGTATAAATCCTGCTTTCTAGGTCTACTTTTGAAGAAACTAATCTTTCATTCACTATTTCTTCTTGGTGTCATTGTAAATCAGTCCACTGTTATCTTAGTCTGTGACACTGTAACAACATATTTGACAACTGGGTGTAAACTTCATTTCTCTCTGTATGGGAGGCTGACAGTCCAAGATTAAAGACCGATAAACTAGGTCTTCGGCAAGGTCCCTGTTCTGCACACACTTTGTTATTGCGAATGCTGCATCCTCACATGGCAGAAGGAGAGACAGTAGGAGCTGGGTCCTGAGAGACATGGGTTCTGATCTCATTAGAGAGGGAGGTGCCCTCAGAGTGTAATCCCCTCCTGGCAGCTTCACCGCAGCAGGCTGCTCAGGGGATCAGGCGCCAACCTGCTCACAGCCTTTCTCCTTAGCTGGGAACAACATACAAGCCATTTTGATGATTTATGTGTTCATTTGTACCATGCCCCATAAAATTATGACCCATAACAGTGGACAGACATTGTCTTTCTCAGACACCAGTAGTTTCTCATATGCTTACAATAATTTCTGTCTCATTATAGGCGCTTTATGAACATGTGTTAGAAAAATGATAGATTAGGTTATATAATACATAGATGTGCACATATGTTCACTTACATGTAAAACCTTTGGGGATCTCTAGATGGCAGGCTAAGTACTGGTTGTGCTGCTTAAGTTATAGCAAGCCTGATGGTATCTGTTTTACTTTAGACTGAGAAGAGATATGAAGCATGGAGAAAACTTGGATTATGTCTGTGACTATACAGAGGTACATAACGGAGATGTGATTTTCAAGGCAGAAGATCTAGGGTGGATGGAAAGCCCATATGCTTGCTACATTCCTGGATTGCCTATTACCATTATATTTTCTCTGGTATTCCATCAGATTGGGAAGTAGGTAGCCCGTGAACTTGCCTCTTCGGAATTTTTTAAGTTGTTTTGGCATTTTAACTGGAAAGCTGATATACTTATTGAATGACCATAAACAGTATGCAGTGTACCAGCTTGTACATGGCACTGGATATGCATTTTATTGAGATATAATCCTGCAGTAGTTACACTCGAAGCCCCATGCATATGCAAATACTGCCTGCACTCTTCCTTGTACTTTATATGACAGAAAGGAAATAAAATGGGGCAAAAACATATATCGAATTTTATGGCAGGACAAAATTCTCCAAACATGAGTTAAAAATATAGAGGTCAAACAAGCAGGACTACTAGACGGGGAGCAGGAAAGGAGTCTGAAGAAACACCAATGTGCCCTTTGCTGCCAGAGCTTCTGTATCAACTGTACAGCCTTATGCCGAGGTCTGAGCATGAATAAATGTCATTCAAATGTGGTTGTCCAATTAATGCATGATTGTTTTATTCAACATCAGATAGTCTGTTTAAGATTGGGTGGAAAGATTTGTGAAGTTCCTGAGAAAACAAGAGAACTTGATTCTGAATCTATGCATGTGCGCTCGCTCCCTCAATCTCTCTCTCTCTCTCTCTCTCTCTCTCTCTCTCTCTCTCTCTCTCTCTCCAGAGAGGGTCTCAGGTACTTTCCCACAGCGGGCTTTTGCCTTAAATTCAGGGAATGCTTCCAGCAACACTTTTCTCTGGATTTGTTGGAGACATCAAACCTCTGCCCAGTGGGGCAGGAGACATGGTTTCTGTCGTGTGAGAATTTGATGACAGAATGAACACAACCTGAAAGAAATCACAGGGCCGCAGGTGAGTAACCAAATAATCTCAGGGTTTCCCCTTCCTCCTTAGTGTCTTTATTGCCCTTTCTTCCTGAATTCAACCTCAGGACCCATGGGGTGGGCTTCCTAGGCGGGTCAGGCTGCCTAGGTCACACTTGCAGCAGCAGACGTCGGCCTGAGAGGCTGATGGGGAACGCTGAGTGCTGGAGCACATCAGTCTAGCTTGTGAGACTGAACCCAGCAGGAGCCACAGGGTGCTTGCTACAGTAGGGCGGTGGAGTCACAGCTGGCCCGGTCTGAGAACCTCCCAGGAGCCACAGGGTGCTTGCTACAGTAGGGCGGTGGAGTCACAGCTGGCCCGGTCTGAGAGGTATGCACTGATCTGGACTCTGAAGAGACAAGCTTTTTTTGTTGAAGATAGGGAAAAGCAGCCTCCGTTGGCCATTCCGATAAGCATAATTCTAAGGACCCCCTGGAGCAAACTGTTGAGACTGTCACCTCTCAGGTGTGCATGGACCCATGGATGTGGCAGATTGTCTGTCCCGCTAGTAGGTTGCCCATCAGTTGGTTCTGAGCACTCCAGAGGGTCGCCATCCTGGGCGAACCTGACACGGCTGTGTGTTCACTATAAGGCCACCTGAAACACTTCAAGGTGTGTGTTGGCCTGCTGCCCTCAGCATAGGTGTTCCTGGTCATTAGTTCAGCATCTGGGAGGGAATGGGTTTGGTGGGCCAGAGAATGGAAGAAGACAAGAAAGAAGGTCCAGGCAGGAAGAGCCCAGCCAACGTCACAAGAGCAGCGTCATGAGACCATGGGCAGGGGACCAAGCAGGCAGTGCTCAGACACTGCGGCAGAAGCAGATAGTAACCCTGTGCTTCATGTGCTTGATGATACAGTCGCAGGAAACTACTACAGACATCAGCAAGATCAATACTCACCCCACCAAGGTAACAACAGGTCACTTTGCACCCAAATGAAGAGACGGCGATGGCGAGGGACAATTCCAGCATGCTTAGCAGGAGCAACAGCCAATCCATGCCCTGAGAATCAATGCAGAGCACAGGGATGAGCAGAGGGGAGCAGAGGTCACGAATCCTTACCACTAGTTACGTGCTGAAGACCACCAGCCCTGACCGGTGTCTGGGCGCTGGCTCCTTCCACACCTTGAGGCTTGGCAAAGTCTTCTCACACTGGAGTCAGTTATTCTCCTATAGATTTCACTAATGAAATGATCAAGATTTTTCTGACTATCTGGGGTCATTATGGAAATGCAACAAGAAAGTGCTTTGAAATGGCATGCGCACCTGGTTTAAACGTTGCTGTCATCTTGGTCCGCTCAAGTACTAGTAGTTCATTTGGTTGACACAATTGCATGGCCCCATATGGTCCTAGTTGTTGGCAGATATGGTGCCCTGATCGTTAAAACCTGAAGACGCAACCAGTTATAGGACAGAGGGGAATATATTTTGCAAATGGAATTGTTTACAAGTTGAGGTACAGGAATTATTTAGCATTATTTGTCTTGGATGAAATAAATGAAGGTGACAGCACAATTGCTGAAGTTCATGAGTTCTGAAGACTTTGCTGTTTGATTTTAGGGTACAGGGCAGTGTAGAGAGTGATGGAATTCAGGAAGCAGTTCTGAAAGCCAGAAAGTCAGAGAACCGATTTTCCCTAGGGCATCCAGAGAGGAATGAAGCCCGGCCACGACTTCGACTTTAGCTTAGAGAGACCTATTCTGAACTTTTCAATTTCTAAAGCCTGCAAGGATGTGATAATAAAGATTAACTACCTAGCAAAGTAGCAGCCATTTGTTTAATCTACAATAAGAAAGTGGCGCTATAATGAGCAGCTGCTTAATTCATCTCCAAAGGCGATTGGTTTTCACTTTATCTTCATCCAAACTGTGGGCTCAAACGTCAGTGTCAGGCAGCATGCTTATGCCTAACAGATGACCCCAGATGGAGTTGAGGTTCCTTGGCTTAAAGACTGTAGTCTCCTCTGCACGCTTAAAGATAGCCTACGTGCTGTGGAAGAACTCACGGCTGTGGGCTCAGCTCCTGAAAGATGGTCTCACTGGACCCTAAGAACGGTTCATGCATTGCTTCTTTTGTCCCCTTATGCTTTCGGCAGTCTCAGTAGCCTCTGCATGCCAGGCATGGATGTAGGCTTAGAAATGGAAGGCAGCAAATAGAATAGAAAAGTCCCTGTCCCCAAGGACCTTGCCATCTAGGGGAGGAGATGGGGAGTTAGAAAGCTGTGAGGTCAGACAGTATTTATTTTAGTGTACAGGCCCTGTGTTCTTCACTGCTGGGACTCAAGTCTACCATTGGAACTAGAAGCAGTGTCACACAGAAGGTCATCCTGTGGGCTTGGCTATAGCTCAATTTGGTTTTACTTACAAAAACAAGTGACAAGATAGTCTTCCAAGCTGCTGGCAGATACGTACATCTACGTCCCTGTCACCTGTATCTCTATCTATCTGTATCTCTACCTCTATTATGGAGCTTAAATCCACGTCAATCCTACACCTTCAGCCCAAGTCATAAAGCAATGAGTTACATGAATGCCATTTTTCTTTCTGTTCCTGTGTTATTATTTACAGGAGCTATTTGTGAGATTGCGCACACTTGTTGTACAGAATGCATTGTCCTGAGTCTTACAAAACTGCAGTCTTTCTCTTACACGTAGAGCTAGCAGACAACTGGAAATTTACATTTACTTGTATATTTAAATTAATAATTTGGTGTTATTTATATGGCTAGACTTGACGATTCTTTTTTCCAAAAAGAAGTCACATTTTCTAGCTTCTTTTTATAATTATAATGTTCTATCAAAATATATCCTTAATATTTAAATTAAAAACCACTGTAGCAAAGACAGTATTCTGATATTCATCCCCATCAAAATATGCCACTCACTTAGGTTATATAACTTTTTGGTGTTCAGTTTTTAAAAAATTTTTATGACTGTTGATATTAATCCTTTGTCAGGAAAGTAGCTGTCAAAGCCTTTTTCCACTGTAAATTTGAGGGGCTATTTTGGGGTGAACAGGCAGAGCTCAAGACCTATTTAGTATACTAAGTGATAAAGTAAAAGTACTACTCTGGCTGTTGCAGAATACATCACCGAAGATGGTGAGCTCCCAAAGTTAGTGAGAGACGATGACAGACACAGAAAACCAGTAAGCTGAGTCTGAAAGCTCCTACGAATGGAAGAAAACTGGAAACGCGAGCGTGCTAATAATTAGCCGCCCACATTCCAGGAGTAAAGATTTGCAGCCCCTGTTAGTGTCTGCCCTGTGTGGAAACCGCTCCTCTCCCTGCACTCACCCAGGGCAAAAGCACTAAAATCTTTTACTTCTCAGAAGAGCTCTGTAAGCTGTAATTTGGAGGAGAAAGCAATGAGGACATCAACTAGGTGAGGTCAAATGATGCGGAAAGAAATAACACCATACAGACAGAGGCTTGAGAACCTTCCAGGAGCTGACTGTTGAGGCTAAAAGTGGTAAATATTGTGAGAACACCCAGAGACGTCCAGCAAAACACTGTGCTACTCGCCACATAGAACCTAGCATTCAAGACATTTTTCCTTCATCATTAAAGAATCATATAACTCCACTAGGCTGCATCAGGAAGCCCTGGGAGCATTTGGGGGCTGGCATTACCTTCCAGTTTAGAGGGAATAACAACAGACACAGATCCATGTGCTGTAATTAAACAGTCAAAATGGCGCCGGAGTGCCGCGCCCAATGACCGCTATGGAGCGTGTGTTCTGTCCCATGCTTTCTTCCCAATTGGCTCCATCACTTTTAGAGGACAAAAAGAGATGCTATGTGAGCATGACTCTTACAGAAGAGTTTGTTCTATTTCTCAGTGCCTTCATCCTTCCCCCCAAAAGACCCAGCGCTAGTCAGTGTTGATGAATGCTTCTTGCAGAACCAGTGCTCTGCCCTCCTGCTGACGCATTAGTAGTCGGTGAGACGAGGAGGCACTCACCAGTATAAGAGACCTTGTCATAAGACAACTTTCATGCCAATTGTAGCTGCAGGGAAAGGGAAAGGATAAACTTATGCCCAAGCTGGTCATGATGAGTATCATTCCTACACCAGCAAACACAGAGCTGCAGATGTTCAAGCCTAAACTGGCTCGGACCTACAAGGGAATGAAAGATAGTTAAATAATCCAGTAGCTATGTCTCCCTTGCTCATGTGAAGCCCCCCCTTCCTTGGCCAACATATCTCATACTATCTTCAGTATTTCAGGAGTCTTGAAATTATCTTTTTCTGTCAATTTGAAATGATTAATCTCTTGCCAAGGCAAAGCCATGAGCTTGTTACTTCCTAGTTCAATCCCTTCAGATAATGTCAGAGAGTGTGGAAGATCGACCCTAGGTCTCCTGTCCGGGGCGTCTGGGTCTGTCCCTCAGCTGTGCAGCCTGCCTCTGCACCTCAGGCCGCGCTCCGCCGCAGGGACTGAGTGCTCATCGCTTCCAACAAGGTGCCTGCTCCTCGTGGCTTGCTCCCTTCTGCATTTACATCTTACATTGTGTCTTTCCTTCTGTCCAGTCTCTTTTTATGTGGCATAAACTTTCTACAAGAACGAAATTTGCTCAGGAAAGTGTGAGAGGCTTGGCTTGAATGTTGTATGAGATGCATGTCATTGGTTGTAAACAGAAGCAATGTTAGAGGTGGGTGTTGGCCAGAGTTTGCAAAGTCCATATTGATCAGGCTGTAGAGTTGATGTTTGCATTTTCAGCAAGAAATTTATCGTCATAGATAGGTAGAGATAGATAGATAGATAGATAGATAGATAGATAGATAGATAGACAGATAGACAGATAGACAGATGGATGTGTATTGTCTTAAGTTAGGTTTGTGAAAGACACAGTGGCAGAGAGTAATAATTTAATTTTTTTTTCTTAACTAAAAGCTCATTAGGAAACTGAAAGCTCTCCTTGGGTGTAGTCGAAATAGCATTTTAATTAATGAATATTACTTGGTGCCTCCACTCTGGCTCAAGTCCACAGCTGCTGTCGCTGGTTTTCCTTCTCTAGAACTTCTGCATTTCCAAGCAGACTCCCTAGGCTACAGTCTGGCAAGATATTTAGCACTATGTGACTCATAGTAATTATGCAAGTATTTAAATATAATTATTGAACAATCCTTCATGGTAAAACTCATGACATTTTAAAGAAACAATCATCTTATGCCCAGACAGAATGCACATTTGATTACATCATTCCCTTTTTGATACCAAAATAAAATAAAATAGAACTCACAAATCCCTTTGTAGTTCTTCTTGCTGTTGCAATTGCGAAAGACCCTGAAATAATAAACTAGGAATGGAAGAAAAAGTCAGGTAAAAACTTTAAACAGTGGTTACAAATCATACAAATTAAAACTTACCCCTAAATTCTACCAACATGTTAAACAGAGCAGTAGTTTAAAAGAAACACCAAATTTGCTGATTATGGTTTTATTCTTCCCATTAAGAACACAAGAATTCTACGAGATAGACTCATGGGAGAATTTATCAAGTTTCTCAAAATATAATGAATAGCAATGGTCTTCACATTCTTAAAATCCCTGAGAAAAATGACATCGAATTCCTGAAAGGAGGTAAAGGTAATATGTTGTCCATGTCTTTTGAAAGGAGCGGTTAATGCTTAAAATTTTTTTTGTTCTTATTTTTTCTTTTTAATTTCTATTATTATTATTATTATTATTATTTTGATGTATTTGGCACAGTCTCATTATACAGCTCAGACTCACAGTGATCCTCCTGTTTTCAGCCTCCCCAGCGCTAGGCTTATAGGTGTATGCCATCACACCCATCTCGGTGGCAGGCTCAGTGTACCCAGGGGAGGGGCCAGCACAGCATGTGGTGCAGAGAATTGAACCCCAGCCCCTCAACTTACCTAAGCAGGTGCTTAGTCCACTGAGCTATCTCCCTGGCCCTTATTTTTTTAAACCAATTTTTCAGGTTTGTATCTGGTGACTCAAACAACTAATAACATCATGCAATATAGCAACCATTGTTGAATTCCTATTACTTTGTTTAAGGAAATTTTGTCATTTCTAAAGCTTTTTATATATTGTGTTATTTAATAAATAAATAAAAGCAGTAACTACTATTGTCATTTGAAATATCTATGAAAAGTCTTGCACAAAATAATGGCAAAAACCTAGATTCCTCATTGGGTGATGATTGGAGACCGTGGCTTCTGTGTGTTGGGCAACAGATTTTCATTTTCTAAAACTTATGGAGTTGTTTAGTTGCATGCTCCACCTTACACAATCGAACATTTTATGTTTCTGAATTAATGTCCTATGTTTGATTTTAGAAACTTAAGAATTATAAATTAATTCCAGAGTGAATGAACTATGGAAATAGCTTTATAAATGTACTCTTTCATGAAATTTTCAATAGCCAAACAAAATGATTTCACAAAAATCGCCTAGAAAAAAAAAAAATAACAAAGAATACCTTGCATCATCTTATCTGAACTAAGTCATGAACACATCGCATTTTCTTTCAACTAGTGCTGTGGGTTGGGTTGTGAGAATCTTCAAAAGTGCATATGTTAAAGTCCCTATGCTGGTGATACTAGATATTAAAAACTGGATTTATTAATACAACCTCATTTTGCATGCTGACAAAGCTACACAAAAATCTCAGAGGAAAAAATGAGCAATGAGTGAGAAATTGTGATAAATAAAATTTGCAATATCCCAAAAGTACACCTTAGAAAACTTAAAGACTGGCCCGAAAGCTCAGCAGACTGAAGCACCTGCTTGGCAGAGCCCAGCGACTGGTGCTGGATTCCGTGCGTGCTGTGCCAGCCGCGCCCTGGGGCGCACTGGGACGGCAGGCGGTTGAGACTGGGCGTGGTGGCACACGCGTGTAATCCCACTGCTTGGCAGGCTGAGAGCAGGAGGATCACTACGAGTCCGATCTCCATAGTGGAACCCTGTACACACTGTCCTAAATACATATTAAAGAAAGAAAGAAAACTTTAAAAAGCAGCTTAATGTGGCCCTAGTTTTGTGGGACTGTCATAAAAGACATAGCGGGACTGGGGACAGAACAGCCCAAACGTGAGAGGCACGTGCGACAGTCTCACTGTTTGCACACGTGCAGGGGGAAGGAACAGAAGGGGGCCCTTTGGGCATGAGGCCCGGAGCACAGTTGAGAGGGTGAGTGAAGGCATCCTCGCAGCGTGTGCACCGCATAACACGAAGTGAGAAACGCCCGCGGTGCCCTGGGTGGGGTCTCACTTGTGAAAATATATCCGCTTCCTTCCTGGTGATCCACCCAACACGTCCAGCAGTCGGAGTCTATGTAAGAGGCCTCCTCTGCGGTCTTGGGAGGAGGATGGACGTGGAAGCTGAGATCGACCTGGTGAGCTGCGAGTAGTTTTGGAAGCAGAGTGCTTTGAGTTCTGATTCCTGAACCTCATAGACCTGAACAAGTCAGCAACTCTTCTAACTCCTAATTTCCTTTCTCATATGATAATTACAGTAACAAATCTTTCCTCAGAGGATTCTGTTTGCTTGAAATGGATTTATGTATATAAAACCCTTAATAGGCTGCCTGTGTCAAGTAAATGTTTAATATAAACTGATTTGTTCAGATTGTTATTAGATGCAGAAGACGTTGCAGTTTTTACATGAAGACAGGAATTTCTTCTGAAAAGCTAAACTTCTATACTCTGAATAGAAGAGAGAAGTCAAAGCCAGACCAATCATAAAACTCTGATAGTTCTTATTTTCAATTCTGCAGAAAAAAAGTTCTTATTTTCAATTCTGCAGAAGCCTAGGATAGGCTTCCTGATGGTGATATAAACATATTGCACAATCACCAAATGTTCTTCAGCTCAGTAGATAAAGCATGGTATACTCTGTTCATTGTATCCTCTAGTGCCCACAGAACCCCTTTCATGTTTTGTCTTGAACAAAGATTTTTAAACTTTCATAAATTATTATCTTAACTGCATTTTAATTAAAGTTATTTTTAGTAAACTTCTGAAACAAAGTTGGTCTAAAAGTAATTCTGTTTTCTAAGATAACTATTGACAGAGTTGACAAATTACCAGCAGTGTTGTTTTCTACCATCCCCTGTGATCTTCAGAGCGGTGTGAAACCCTCCAGCTACAAAAGTGAACTGTGTTAGTGAAAGCGCCCAGAGATAAGACAGGAGCCTTTGTTCACCCTTGGATTGGAGGTATCATCGAAAACACTAATGGGCAATGGACGAGTGTCAGCAAAATCGACTTGCTCTGCTGGCCATGTCCCAAGAGGTCCTCACGCTCAATTCACCAAGCCTGTAGATGACTTGTTCCTTGTTTGCTGAAAACATCCATGCTTAAATCATTCCATTTTGTGTCTACAGCTACTTCTACTTTAGCGCATCTTCACTGATAGATATGAAATAATTATATCTAATACTCCATAAATTTATGTTGTTATTTCCATGTTAAACAACAAAGTGAGACAGGGGCTGGAGAGATGGCTCAGTGGTCTAAAGCACCTACTTAGAACAAGCTTAGCAAAAGCATCAGGGACCGCGGTTCAATCCCCCAGCACCACATGCCAGCCAGCCCACCCCCTGGTGGGCTGAGCTGGCCTCTCTCTCTCTCTCTCTCTCTCTCTCTCTCTCTCTCTCTCTCTCTCTCTCTCAAATAAATAAATAAATAAAAATTTAAAAAAAAAAGAAAGTGAGACAAAGAAAGGTTCAACATACTTGTCTCTAAGCTATAGTACATATGGTACTGTTAGGAAAGGTTCTCATGCCAATCTGAGGAGTGTATGAATAACACTGCATTGCCTGTGGTTTTGCGTAAGGTACACTCACCATCAACGATCCCCAGATTGAGTAGCCGGTATACACTGACAGGCTGCGTGCTCCATAAGCAGGCAGCGTGCTGCACATCATTGCGAGTCCCACGCCGAGGATCAACAGGCCAGTGGTGATCTGCATGGCCTGGAAAGGACCAAGAAAGGAAGGTAGCTTATCTTGCTCAAAATGGTGTTGATGACACATCCTACCCAACCACACAAGTATTCTCCATCTTTCAGTGCAATCTATTGATCTTTAGATATTCTCTTCTCACTTTAGTATTATGCATATGCTAACTGACTCAAATTATCCTTCTGAATATTTTTCCCAACTCCAGTAATTTTAGGTTGGAATGAGTCTATTAAAAATGGCCCAAAGACACATATGTGAGACAAATAATACTATTTATACTTAATCTGTTGCTGTCACTTATCAGATGTTCAGAGTAGGGTGATCCAAAAATTAGGAAGTGATTGTTCTAGGGAGAAGAATTAACATAGTAAAGTAGATATACGGGCAAAAAAATAAAACAACGGAGCAACTTCACAATTTTTAGGACCTTGGGCCTCAAGACTGAAAGTGTGGTGAATTAAACATTGAGCATTGAAAAGGATCCTAATGAAGATGAATTTTCAAAACTAACGAGGCACAGAGGTATGCCAAGAGGGAAATTCACAGCGTAAGATACATATGATAAGAAATGTAAGGTGTAGGTCTGGTGAGATAGCTCAGTGGACCGAGCACTTGCTTAGGCAAGCACAGGAGCCAGGGTTGGATCCCTGGTGCCACATGCCCTGCCAGTTCTGCCCCTGGGCATGCTGAGCTGGCGATGGAGTCCAGGCATGGTGGAGAGGCTGAAGACAGGAGGATCACTATGAGTCTGAGCTGTGTAGTGAGACCCTGCACAAAAATAGAAAAGGGTAAGATTTAAAATCCATTATCTAAGCTTTCAGGCACTGTCCATGAGGGCCTAGAAAGAACTATTTAGAAGAAAAAAGGTTCTTCCTCATCTGAGAACAGGTAGAGAAATGGCACCAAAGAGAGTCAGGGATCACATACGTCCTGGGCAACGAGGGAGGCCAGTGGGGAACACCAGCCACTGCTGCTATTCCATCGTGAGGTTAAATATGACTGTGCTGCATGAATCACAATCTAGAATGGGTCTGAAGTCAGTACATTTAAAATACAACTAAACTGGAGACACGATGTGATTGAGTGCAGACAGTGCCATCATTTTCCAATGATATGGCCTGAAAGGCAAGCACTAATATCACTAGGATGGGTCACTATGCTCTGAGCCCAGTAGGACACGTGGTGGATATTAGGTTGGCCAGGCATGAACACCACACCATCGTTGCCCTCCCCGCTCCACAGCTGACTTACACCAAGGATCTTAGGCTGCCCTTTCGTGAACTTCTCTTTCATCTTTTCCCATAAAGAAGATTCCAGAGCCATCGCCTTCCTCAGCTGTGGCATCGCATGTCCGGCTTCTGCTCTGGTCTGCTCCATTCCTTGTATGGTCACCATGTGGCAGAGAAAATGCAGGGAGACAACTGAGGACGAGGTCCTGGAGGGGACAAAAGGAGAGCATGATGTTTTGAGGCAAGTTCCACCCGAAGGGCAAGTTCTAAAGGAGGCGCCTCTTCTGCACCATTGTAGCTACCCATGGGAAGGAGAGTAAAACAAGCCATGTGCTATCACAGGGCCACGCGATGTCAGAACGCTAGAATGTGGTGCAGAGACAGAAGTTTGTGTAAGAGTGAGTTAAGTAGTACGAACTCCACAAACACAAATCTCCACGCCCACAGTCCAAGGCTGCACCTGTTTTGCTCCTTTCTGCCACTGTTACAGCCTGTGACCAGCCACTTGTCCCACTGAAAGATGGCTTGATAAGGCGATCTCTACTAATGCGAGCCGTGTGGTGCTTGGTGGTGCCATTTCCTGCCCAGAGTCCAGGGACATTCTGAGCTGCAGCCCTTCCCTGGTCCATGTGTATACTCGATGCGATTTATGAAATCTGGAACTCTGTCTTATAAACTTAGAATTTTCAAGATACACTTTGTGGCTCCAAATCACATCCTTGCCAAATTTAAATCTTTCTTGGGTTATGGGTACTTCAAATCCTGGCCACCAATGCACAGTGAGATACACAACACTGTTTTCTGAGTCTACAAGCTCCCAATTAATTCTCTGAAACATTTTTCTCTGGTCAGTATTCTGACTCCCATTGGGTGTCTCTGAGTCAGATTAAGGCACATGAACCCGTTATGTGCTCAACTGAAACTATATTGAGGTGCTTCAAGGTCCATTTCCTTAACTGCTGACAGAAGGGAATCTTAAGAGTTAAACAGCTTCTAAGACCCTCACGTTATGACCTGAGACCCATTTGTAGCTTTCTCAGGTGGCCTCTTTTTTTATTATTAAGATAAATTTATTTTAAATATTAATTACATATTTTATGAAGAATGGTAAAACAGAATTTCCTAACAAAATAATTGGAGAATAACAATAGTTAATACATTGCAAATTATAATCTTCAAACTAGTTAATTAAGATTTATACGGTTAACCTTCTTCCCTTTTTTTCCATAATTTTATTGATAAACAAATAGCAATGAGACAGTTTCAAATCAAATCGGTAGTCAGGTGGCCTCTTTGAGAAAACCTGAAGGTGGACACTGACCAAGTCTTGAGCCTTCACAGCACGGCGTCCTTACCAAGCCAGGATGAGGTTGTGCCCAGGCCCCTAGGCCTGGAGAGTCCAGTTTCCAGCTCTGCCTTGGTTGCCCAAGCCTCTGAGTTGTGCCCTGTGGTACAGACCACAGAGCTGCGGGAAGCGTGCATCCTCTTTTGCCTTCATGAGAAGGCAGCGCTGAAGTCCCAGATACCACAGCAGTTTTGCAATGCTACAGACATGTGGCCCTGGCCCACACCTCTGCAGCTGCTGTGGGACACATCAGACAAGAGGTCAGTTAGGGGTTTTCATGGTGAGAAAGAATTCGGGGGCAGAAGAAAATATGCACAGGCACACAAAGACAAGGAAACGTCCCAGTGTTCCTCCGTGCTTGCACAGCAGTTCTGCAGCACATGATCCAAATATGAAGAAGGCCAGGAACTGGCCGTGTGCACCACAGGCTCCATGACAATAAGGGCTTGCCTCATGGGCCTTGCGAGCCTGCTCTTCATTCATTTCTTGGGTGTTGTGGGCTCCCAAGTCCTTTAATTTCACCTAGTATTGTTATTCTAAATAGTGTGGACAAAGCAGTCAGCTCAAAGGACATGGCAACAAACCCCAGGGGTGTTAGCACAGATGGTGCACAGAGACCTGCAGCCGAAAAACGTCTGCAGCAGAAACGAGCACACAGCACAAACAGCTGGCCCCGGCAGTGGCCAGCAGCGGTGGTGACCTGCAGCGAGCTCCATCAGCTTCTCGAGGCATTTGCATCATCTGGAGCCATCGGCACTGCCAGAAGAGCTGCACTTCATGATCCATGATTTCCATCTGAATTGAGCAACAGAACCCCCCACTGACTGAAAATAACAGTACTCACAGAACTGACATGGATATTTTTACTATCCTGAGCCCTGTTACTACCCTGAATCAAAATCTCAGATAGAAAGTAAAGCCAACTTCTGACGTTGCCAGTCCTCCAGATAACCCACTACTATTATGGACTACTGGACTATATTGGAATATTTTGCTGAATTCAAGCACCTACAATATTTAAATGACAATGGAATACCCTTCTCTGACAAAACTAAACAAAAAAGGGGGATATAAATGAAAGACCATTTTTTATTTGTATATTCAAAATAGTTAAGATAGATATACAGCTACTTACTCTTAATTCAATGAATAGAAAGATCTGTTCTAATAGTGGTTGTAGACAGGATATCATGTCTGCATCTTGTACTATGAATAGCCACTAAGAAGACAACAATATGCAATGTATTAATTATTGAAACTGTCCTACAAATCGGTTTTGAAACTGTCTCATTGCTATTTGCTTCTCAATAAAATTATTTTTGAAAAATTGCAGATAGCACAGCATGAATAAATGGAACATTCCTTTGAGATTAGAGAAGAACCCACCACAGTTTTGGCACCCTGACTATGACATCCAAGAGTCCCTCAGTGTCCTTAACTTGCCCCTGATGCTGAGATGACAAAAGTATGAGAGCCGCTTCCTCTGGCTCCACAGTCCTTTGGATCAGCAGAACTATTAATGTTATGCTTCCTTCTGGTTGTGGTCATGTCCCTGAAGACAGCCCTGGAGACAGAGCGTGAAGAGACTCGAAAGAACTTTCTCACCTTGACAAAGTCACTTAGTGATATAGGGGTCTAGTCCCAAAGAGGGTCTGGGCCTGGATAGTGTGCTGGGACATGAGTCCGGAGCAATGCTGAGAAGTCGAGATTTTACTGCTAGCTCATTTATTAGTGCATGGGATTCTGAGCAAGTTGTCCCCATTAGTCTTTTCCCTCATCTGAGGAAAGACTGCCTTTTCAGTTTCCTCAAAGTTTCTTCCTATCTCTGCAGCGCTATGAATCATCACAGAGATATGGCCTTAGTGCCCCAAAAGTGAGCCAGATGTTGTGGAGAACAGGTCAGGCAAATGCCTCCCCATCCAGTCCCAGTGCAGAGGCAGAGCCTGTCTCTAACCGGCATCCTCAACCAGCTGTGCAGCTGGCAGATAATGTTCTGAAAGTTGAACTGCAAAAATAACAAATCAAAGGAAAAGAATACAGAGTAGAAAGAAGGGAAATCAGCATGAGATGCTTACTGAAATCTTAAATAGCACTTATAGTCCTTTGGTAGTAGTGGGACTTGAAGAAGTCAAGCAACTGAGAGTCCTGCCGCACACAGCCCTGTCCTCAAGGGGTCTTTCTTTTCCCCTGTCCTCCACAGCCAACTTTGTCCCTGAAGTGCCCCAAGTCAGTGATGGTGAACCTTTCAGAATGCTCTGTGGCATGTGTGCCATAGGTCTCCCACCATTGCCCTAAATGTTCAGATAAGGGTGCACTGAGCCTCCCCCGCACGCGGAGTCATGCCTGTGCCAGAGGAAGTGACCTGAGTTGTCCCCATCCCATTCATGCATGCATCGTAGACAGAATAAGTGAAAGCCTGTCAGCACAAAGCCTCGGAGGGCAGAGCTCTACACCTACCTTCTTCAGGCCTGCAGTGACGCGCCGTGTGCTGATGAGGGTCGGCTCTGGGGGAAAGTCTCAGGCTCGGCATCCAAATGCAGCCACCTCCACACACTCCAGTTTAATTCTGCATTGTCTTTTGGCAGATTTTTTTTTCCTAAATCCTAGAGGCTATGCATAGAATTTCTGAGAAACCAGAATGTGTAGTTCCCTTTTCACAGCAGCAGTGTCATCTGACTTCTGTCTCTCCCATGGCTGTGCACCTATTTTGAAATATGCTGGAAATGCCGTGGCTGCCAGAACTAGTCATTCCCGTGAAACCAAGCGTGGTCATGTCTACAGACGCCAGTGTGAGGCTGTGCTGGGCTCCAGAGGCTGCTGAAAGTCAACTGAGGTCACATGTAAGAAGATGAAAAGCCATTTTCTCAATGCTACACATGTATCACCCAGTAGCAATTCAGCACTTACACCAAACTCCATGGTTGGGCATGCTAAGAAAAGCCCCATCCCGTGTTACCATGTTAACATGTTCAGTAATGAATAAACACATCACGATTCTAACTCCAGGAAGCACCTGGTGTTGAAAGAGCCTGGTATTTCACTGAGACACTTTCTGTGGTGTAATTTATTGTACGAGCTTGTTTTCTCTTCAATCTATGATTCCTCACTCATGAATAAGGATAACACTTAAGGAGTGCTGAATTATCCACTATTTGTTTGCTATGATAAAATGCTTCTTCCTGGGTAATTTGTAAAGAAAAAAGGTTCATTTAGCTCATCATTTTGAAACCCCAAAAGCATGACTCCAGTTTCTGGTGGTTCTGATGAAGTCTGCGCGGTTATCATAGGACAGTGGATGGTTCAATGGTGGGAGTGTACAGGACAGGTTAGGACCACATGGTCAGTTAAAAACACAGAGTTAAAAAGGGCCAGATGCCTTTTTAGAACAGCTCATGATAACCATCCAGAGTCCAAACAGTCCTAATATCTTCTGAGAACAGTGTGCTAGCAACCTCCTCCCTCTCAAAGTGTCCCGTGCCTCAGCACCACTGCAGTAAAAACGGAGCCTCTAACAGAAGGTGCCAGCAGAGGAACACCACCCAAACCATGGAGAGATGAAAAGCAACAGTAGCCAGTAACACTCATTCAAGGCATTCTTAAAGAAAGAATCACCAACAAGTATAAATAAGATAAAGGATAGATCGCAGGCAACATGGAAAAGTAGCCCTTTAGGAGATGGAAAGGGCCCTAGGGATGGGGGGAGTGAGGGAGAGAAAGAAAAGAGGAGTGAACCTGAGCAGAATTTGCCTGCACCCCGCAATGGACGTGTTCATTATGCATCGCAGACAGCACTAATCAAAGAGGAAAAGACATATACAAGGAAGGAGTGCGACTTTAACCTGAAGACTAGTACATGCTTGAGGACATTCACAGACTCCACGATGCAACCAAAGTTATTCTACACTGTCAGTGGTGTGGTCAAACCATAGGCAATAATCTCCAGAACTGCAAACCTCAGGCTTGAACTTTCCAAACTCCTCAATGAGCCTTTGCCAGTTGTCAGTCCAACTTTGTAACCCCTGACTAGGCATCATGAGGCAGCCGTATGATCAAATTGTCAGTGTCTTATCATTATCAGATGAGATCAAAGAACGGAAAGGAGATTGGAAGAAGATGGTGTGCTGTTGGTAATTGT